TGGCCCCAGGGGCTGGGCCGGTGCCCCCGGGCTTGTCTGCTCTGCGATCCTGCAGCTCCCCGCCCTGTGACAGGCAGCTGCGCTGGGAGACCGAGGTCGGGGGAGGGGTGGCGGCGATTTCTGGAAAACTGAAGCTGCGCGTGCATCGCCCGGGCGGACTCGGGAGGGGGCGGGGCCCCGCGCTGGCCTCCTAGTGAGGCTGACCGGGTGATTTGGGGACTTCGCTCCTGTTTGCCCTGTGCCCGACTCTGGTACCCTTTGGGAACTGAGTGGCAGCTGCGGGAGGGTTCGCCTCACATCTCACTACTTCTCAATCCATGCCCACCTCCTTACCCAGAGAAGTGGGTGGGGAGGCGAGTTTGAGAATGGTTTTTAAGACTCAGATTTTCCCCCCTTTTGAGGAGCCCCCCACCCCATGTCAGAAAAAGAATCCCTTTCTCTACTAACTAACGTCTTTTACCTTGATTCTGCCCTAAAGCCTAAGCCTATTTCAATTTCAGTTGGGGGGGGGGGCGTGTGCCCATATGAATGACTCACCCCCATATGAGAGCTGGAGAGCTCAAACCCGCAGAATGGATTAAAATAGATTAGGCCTCTGGAGCCATGAACAACTCTGACCTACCTCTGTGTCTGCCAGATGTGTACGTTCCCCGGGGGGGGGGGGGCAGGAAAACTGTCTGTTTTGTCCACTACTCTGTATTCAGGGCACACAGTAGGCACTCAATGATTGTTTGGTAACTAAATCTACTGATCTTGAGGACTGCAAGGTCTGGTGGGAATGCATACATTTTGAAATAGTCTGGACCTATCTCGGTGTGATCTTGAATAAGTTACTTAACCTCTCTGGATATTAATTTCATCTCTAAAATAGAGATAACAATATCTACCTCACCTATAAAAGTGACCGTATTGGGTTCTTTACCCCCTCCTAGAGTTTCAGGTTTGGGGAAGAGTCTGGTTCTCATAAAATTCTGGAAGGCTCTCGATGGTTCTCCTGCATTATCTGGCCTGACTATTGTGCCCTAACATTTGTTCCTTTCCCTCTAATTGGCAAAGAAGTCGGCGCTCCCGGCCGAGGTCGCCGCCCTCCTCCCCGGACCTTCTCCTCCGGCCTCGGTCCCGATGGTCCCGATCG